GTTCAAACTTACCAAGTACGGGAGTTCAAACTTGGCATTCTAGGTATTGAAAAATGCCCCTTGTGTGTTGAGCTGCTGAGTAAAAATATTCCTCTTTAACTGATTGATATTTTTGCATTATACTCAGGGGTTAAATTGCTCTTGCGCTCAGCTGTGTCTCTTTCAGTATCATTGTGCTGCCAAGTATTCAAGGATATTGAACTGAGAATATTATTATCTCTCTTTGCATGCATGCTAATTGTTGCTTTGTTTCTGTGTTGCAGGGGACAGACTTTCGACCAGACACAACTACTCCAGATATATCCATTACAGCCATTGCAGCACTGCTCCTCCTTCTGCTCCTGTACATGGCAATCTACTCACCTCACAGTGGTGGAAACCATTAAACTAACTGGTGTGTCTACCTGCTGTGAAGGGGCGCATAAAGATGATATTTCTACCGTTTTCTTCTTCATTGCAGTGGTTGTTGGCATGACCTTTGTGAGACATATTATCCATGTTGTGAGGAATATTTCTTCAATTTTCTTCACCAAGCTGGGTGAATCTGATGGCTGCTACATTTTCACTGGATGGTTTTCACTGCCTGGATTTTAAAAAGGATTATTAGAAACCACAGTTCTCATTCACTTCGGAGTTACCCACTCGCTTATGCTTGTGTGTGAATGTGAAGTTAGTGTGACTGTGTGTTTGTGTTTGCATCTGCATGGTGTAAGTGAGAGACAGAAAACAAGGAATTTTCACTCAGAAAGGACAAGAGAGGATACAACAAACAAGTTAAAAACGAGGAGTAGCAGCAATGTCCCACTGGAGGCACAATTCAAGGACTGGATGTCGACTACTTCAGAGCAGGAGCAGGATGATGGGATATATTAAGCTTGAAGCTTCCTTAAATGCCAGGTGGTGGGTGTCCTCTCTAATATGGCTGGGGCTGCTAGTGCTCCAGGTGTGTCTGGCTAGTGTGTCGGCTGAGAAACTTGATGAGAACGACCCAGTGGTGACCACTGCCAATGGCAAGCTGCGCGGCGTTAAGAAGGAGCTCAATAATGAAATCCTGGGTCCTGTCGTGCAGTTTCTGGGTGTGCCGTATGCCACTCCACCCACTAGCGAGCGCCGCTTTCAACCACCCGAGCCACCAGCATCTTGGCCGGACATCCGCAATGCCACACACTTTGCCCCTGTGTGCCCTCAGAGCATCGTGGAGGGCCGCCTCCCAGATGTGATGCTGCCGGTGTGGTTCACCAACAGCATTGATGTGGTGTCCACATATGTCCAAGACCAGAGCGAGGACTGTCTTTATCTTAACATCTACGTCCCTACTGAGGATGGTGAGTAGGCCTGCAGACCCAGGTTAGGATGGTTGTGGGTACAGTGGGGGTGTGGGAGGTGGGAGCAGAGGAAACTGAACCCACAACCTTCTGGTAGAGAGAAGAGTATGCTGTCAGGCAGTATTTTATCTACGTATGTGAGAGTGCATTTCTGTCTCTGTCCCTGTCTGTCAGTAGAGGAAATGCATGACCTTGTGCATGTTTAATGTGCATGACACTGCTTAGAGTACACAAATGTGTGAGAGTGCTTTTGTGAAAAAGGACAGCTGGAGTGTGTGTCTCTCTGTGTGTGTATGACATCCACTGATGCCCTTTTCATTCCACTCCATATCTGTTGCAATCTTCTTCCATCCTTTATAACTTTTTCTCCTCCACCACCTCCTTGTTACTTCTCTACCTCCTTCCCCTCTGATGCCCAGCTCATCCTTTTGCTCATTGCCTTATTTGTCCTCTTCTACAAATTCCTTCCACTCCTGTCTGTAGCTCATCATAGCCTATTGTGCCCAGCTACAATGGCCACAGTTCATTAAACAAGACAGTCGTTGTCATGATCATCACTGATTGATTTGGCTGACTGGCTGGCCGACTGATAAACTGAATACTGTGCTGATTGAGCTGGTGTGATTCATTCTTTTCCTCTGTCTCTATGTCTGCCTTTCCTGCTTTTCAAAATCTTATTCAGTCAATCAGCTGTGTGTGTGCATGCCAGCTCCTGTGTGCATTGCACGTCAAGGGGCTCCATGTTATTCTTTAGTCTTTTATTCATTTTACAGTCAAAAGAATATCCAAGGAATGTGCCAGGAAACCAGGCAAGAAAATATGTAGACAAGGAGGTATGTATGATTTGAACACAACCTATTATATACAAAACCACAATAAGAAGAAAGTAGGAAGAAAAAGAAGTGTGGAGTACAGCAGAGAGCAATCATGGGATCAAGGTCTACAAATTATTCATGTCTTGGCAACATTTAAGAGACAGGACCTTTTTAAGTGCTACCTGGAAGTGAACTAAGCTTTCAGAGCCAGTTTTCCTCATGAACATACCTAACACAGTTCACAAGTCTGTGAGCAGAGCAGGAAAACCCATTTCTGATTTGTTAGACTTGTTCATATCCTGGAGATAGGAACAATAACATATTTGCTACTGAATCCATGAATTAGCCATGTAATTTGTAGACCTTGTGATGGTGGGCTAATGAAGAGGTTGTGTTGTGCCATACTCTCTGGTTCATTGATGTGTGTTCTCACTGGTCAGCAAGATTGGGAGATTTGATTGGCTGCCAGGTCAGGGGTGAGGTGTGTAGTACTGATGGTTGATGTGTGAGGAGTAGCAGCACATTTTATTAGATCAAATACACATATAGGACAGACACTCAGTGTTGTAGTTGTATGCACTGTTAAACAAGATGAACCCAGGCTGGACCTTAACTGGGTAATCTCCAATAAAACAGAGCAGAGCTGTGTTCACTTTTGGCTTGGGCTACTGTATGAAGCACAGTTTCATCAAGATAATGCTCTCCTCCTCCTCCTCTCTGTGTTTTTCTCTCAGCCTCTCCCACCCTGGATGTGTGAATGTTGTAGTGTGTAGGTATGCTTGTGTGAGAATACAAACATGGGTGTGTACGTGTGTGTGTGTGTGTGTGTGTGTGTGTGCGTGTGAGAGAGAGAGACTGAAAGAGAGAGAGAGATGCTGGCAGTGTCCTTGATAAGGTCCAGGTGTTAATGTCATTGTCTTGGCAGCAGCATTATCACTTAATGTACACTCCCTTTCCTCTTACTACACAGCTGTGTGTACACTCTAACCTTAATGTGCTTCCTTTCCTTTCTCCCGTCCTCAAACATGCTGCACACTGATCCATACACAGAGGATAAACTGGGAGATTATAGAAGTTTACACATTAGTTATAAAACCAAGGCCCAGACAATCTCTTGTGTATTTTTTCTTTCCATTTTATGCAAAAGAGAGATTAGGTAAAAAAAAACTATGCATGTTGCACAAAAAAGAATGGCAAATATGTGGCTTTGTTACACTAGAAGCTGATTTGTTTGGGTTTCTTTCTTTGGGTTCAGATTACTACCAGTTGATTGTGCACTGAACAAAAAATATTTATTCTTGTGAAAGAGAACTATTCTCAAGTTTAATACTCACACTGTTCTTCATTATGAAGTTATCTATATGCTGTAAGCTGTAGGTAAAGTGCACATAGGTTAGCTTTAGATGAATGCACATAGACCATTTTGAATGTATGCAATATGTGCAGTAATTTCTTTAAGTAGGCCATCACTAATATACAGTATATGTGAAATTTACTAGTCCTAAAGAGTCAGTGTCAATAGTTTGCTGGAAGTAATGCTCTTACCTGTGCATTTAAAAACTGTTCTGCCAGAAGATTCAAGTCTTATATTAGCTAATTTGTGCTCAAATTGAAGTTTAATCCAATTATATTAGATTAATAACAAATGAAAGGACCTCAATAAGAGAAATAATGAGTGCAATGTTATATGTTCACAGGGCACTGAATGGTCTTAACCCAATCATTTGAAAATTAATGGAATGGCATGCTATGGCCTTCATGGTCTGCCAGATCCATATTAATCAAACAGGTAAAACTGAAATTTTGGACTAAAGTCAGATAAATATATATCAAAGCTATTTATCTACCCTTAAACCACTATTCCATTTAAGAGACCCTAGAGGCCCATTGGTCAGAATAAAGTCATGAACACTACAAAATCTGAAGCAGTAATTTCAAAGAAGTGTGGTTGTAGCATACTGTATCAGTATGTTATCCAAAGGACCCATGTTGGTATAGTAGTTTTACTTTGTCCTAAAGTGATCTGCCACAGCTCATTATTGTAATAATCCTATAGACACTATCTTCCTCCCAGCGCCAGGCATTCGGTCTCGTGTCAAAGTATTATTCTATCTTGCACCACAAGCAGTGTCCTTCATTCTTGCTAGCATCCACACTGTCAAGATACCCCATACGCTTCTGTCCACCTGGGAGTGTCAGTGTAAATGAGTGGCCTTTGTAGACATGTTTTGGTGCACTTAATATCTTGAGGACAGAATAAGAAGCTGCACCAGTGACCAAAAAAAGCTGGTCTAAGTCAACAGTGAAACCCCTATCAGCCTGTTACTGAACAACAGGAAACTGGACCCCATGATCATACAGAGAGAGAAGAACACAGAAGAACAGAGAATTCTGACCATACTTAAAGTTTAACTAACATTGGCCTAATAAGTATTAACTATATCAAGTTTGCTTTTACTACTGTTAAGGGTTAAACAGCTCAACCTAACATAACAAGTCTATACTAAATCAAGGCTCTAATTACCATAGCTGGCTGATGTGATGCTAATAGAACACATATCACACTAAACCATTTCCCTGCACTCTAGAAACATGCTCACACGCACTATAAGTACTGCATGACCAAACTCTCTACTTTGTAATTTCTAAGTTCTAATTTGCTAACTTTCTATTAATATTTTCTAATTGAACGTATAACACACTGAGAATGAACAGTCATAGA